GCCGTTCTGTGCTTCGGCACCTCTTGTCCGGACACGGCTGCCACGGTGTGGAAGGCGCAGCGGAAGAGCCGCAGCGTCGAGTCGTTCTCCGGGAAGAGCTCTGTGTGCTCCTCCGTCTTCTGCGCCACGTGCTCCGCAAAGGCGCCCTGCCTGGGCAGCCGTGGAGCGTGGAGGAGCAGTGCGGATAGCAGGCAAGTCGTGTGGCTGTGGAGTTGAGTCGAAGGCAAGTCGTGGTGGATGGGACCCAAAACCTCTTGTGAGGCGGGATTCCGAATGCATGATTCTTCTGGTTTGTGTCAGACTTAGCTGTCAACTATAATATCTATCCTCCTAAACACATGGAGTCGAAGGATGGATGACCTTGGAGATAGGAGTGTAGGATTGGTCCTCCTCTCCTGGGTGACGGATACAGGTCGCGGCCGACGCTCCGCCGGCATCTGCTCCAGGGCCGGAGATCCGAAACGGAACCTGTTCACCTTATACTTACTGCAGTGTGGCCGCCTGGCGCAGTGGTCAACCTGGTCCTTCACACCTTTGAGTGGTGTTTTTTTGCATGATCAACTCCAGTACAATGAGCAATGAGGCCTACCTGTAGGGTCCAGCATGGTCCACCTGTTCGCTCTTCTTGTCGAGTGGGGCGTCCCCAAATCCCCAAAAAGCTTAGTTTTGCAGGTGAGCGGTTGTGTGCTGGACTCTCAGTGCCGGGGAGCATGGACCCATAGAGACCTAGGCCCGGGGAAACCTGGCCAAATCTCCAAGATTCCTGAGGCGTTTTTAAGCCCTGGTCCAGTTGATCTTCTCAACCCTTGTCCAAGTTAAAGCCATCAGCAGCCCCTCTTGTCAAAACCACAAGCCCCCCCCTGAAACAAAAATGCTGCTATACCAGCAAGATCCAGCAAGCAGCCAGCAAGTTCCTTGAAATAACACATGACACAACATGGCTCAACCCTGTTGACTCATGTGTGTTGAGATTAGCAATTATTAATATAAGTTGAATCAAGAATCAAAAAGCAACAAATCCCCAGACACATGTCCCCACATGGCTCAACACTTCAGATTGGGGACACCTGATTATGAATATCCCTATTGTTTTGGCCAATCCCATTATCAGTAAAAGTGGATGATGCTGGTTGGTAAAAGCCTTTTTCGAAAACAGTGATGATCTTTTACTGCATTTCTAAGTTGACCACTTAATCTATTGTGTGACCAATGGCTCCTTCCAAGAATCCTATCCCTCCAACTTAATCATCCAAGTTGCCAAAGGTGACGAAACTCAGGCGACTGGATCTGTTGATAGACGATCTTGCTCAATCGTGCTTTCACTTCCTTAGCTCCTCGATCATTTCCTCAGTTCAACCCATGAGGAGAAGCAAAAATCAACGAATGGGTTTAGCCGGTTTAGCCCAAATCAACATCGAATAAGGAGCGTGCCAAACTGGGCAGTTGTGCTCTGAACGCAGGGGTGTTAACTAAATGGACTGCCCTTTCCAGACTGACGAATAAAGACCCGGCCATAGAGTCAGTTTAGTCAAACCGTCACTCATTCGGTTCGTTGGACGTTTGCATTTCCTTTCACTGATGGCGCATCATAGCCGCCTACTTCTCGAGTGCCCATGACAGAAAAGGGCTGCTTGTCCGTCCGTTCTCCACGCCACTTTGAGTGGCAGCGGAGCCCGGTTGGGCTACCGTTTGACCGTTTGTTCTGGTAGGGCCATGGCATGGCGTCCTAGTCGGCGGCGTCGACCGGCGGGTGGCTTGGAGACTGTCGAGTCTGAGGTGAAGGAAGCAGCTGCGTCAGGGGCGACTGACGCTCAGGCCGATGGCCTGCGGGGTGCAGACAGCAGTGAAGTGGCTACGGCACATGGCGCTGAAGACCGTGTGGGCCACTCGAGAAGAGCCGCTGCTGCTGGGGTCTCTACGGGTGCTGAGGTAGAGGCTGCTGTTGGGGATGGATCTGAGGATCCGTGGATGGCAACCCACTCAGACCCAT